AATCTATTACGACTTAATTCATTCGAATTTGCTAATTAAAGAGGCTCTTACAATGACCATTAGTTGAATAACGTTAATTATTATTCATACGTTAATTATTCTGTTAATCTCGTTGTTTAGCGGTTTACGCGAGATACAACCGGTGTTTTATAATCGTCGACAAATTGCGGATACATGCGTGTCGCATTTAGTTAATATTCATTCCGCGCTTATTAGTTATTAACATTCTTATTCGTATCTCGACGATTTACGTATATTCGAACGTTCTACGTTTAACGTTTAACGACGATGTTTATGGTCTCGATCGACCTTTGTCTCGAACATTCGTGAACAATTTCGAACTACAGCGGTTGTCACGCAAACCCTCGCATTTTAATATCATTCAAACAGTTTCATTCCGTTAAATTCCAATCGCTTTGTTCTTAATCACATGCACTCCTCGTGGAAGGGTCGGCTGACGCATGCTTTGCAGGTATGAGAGGTACCTCGCTAATAAAATAGAGGAAAATTCTTCTTTATGTTGCACGGTTAAGTTGGGAAATTTCCAAGTGCGTCGCACTGCTTAACCGCGCGGCGAAGGATGTTTATGGTACCTCTCCCTAAACGGTTTCGACTTTCGAAGTTTTTGTCGCTGCATAGTTTCGACAAGGCAATCATCCCAAGGAAAGGTTGACTTGTATTATTTGAAAGAACTAAATATAGCCTCCTTTGTGTGCCTCGCCTGGGATTATCTCCAAGTGCTTCGCACTGGCGAGGTACACAAACTTGGTATATTAACGGTTAAACTATTGAAACTAACAAGAGAAAAGAAAAAGGAGAATTATAATTTTAATCTCAAACTCCTTTCTTGTGTTCTCCGTGAGGAATCACTTCCAAGTGCACACGCACCCGACGGTAGAACACAAGATCGGAGGAGCGCGAACAGGTAACGAGGAGAAGAAATAAATTAGCAAGGCCCTTCCTTGCGTCCCTCACGTGGAAAGTTTCCAAGTGCAGCGTACTCGATGAGGAACGCAAGGTCGGGTTTATGAAAATGAACCCGGACGTAACACATTCACTAACAAATTCACGCTTTTGTCTTCCGAAGTATCACCCATGTTTAGTTTCTATTTTTATATTATTATATATGTATCCATTTCTATTTCATTATATATTTTTTTTTAAATGATAAAGAGTACAAAGAGGAAGCTAAGCAACCGCAGCCGGAAATGCTGTTGCAGCTGCAGCATCAAATACTGGATATACAAGAGAAAATTGAAATGTTAAAAAAACAAGGAAAACATGATGGATATATCGTAAGTCGTTTTTTTTACGTTCATGTTTGTGCGATTTCTGATATTCTTTATTTATATATAATAACATAATTTTTTTCCACAACAGACGGCACAGGCACAGCGGTCGCAGCTGTTACATTTGTACGAGCCTGATGAACCAGATGAGCATATAGTAAGTTGTTTTTTTACGTTCCTGTTTCTACGTTACTTCCTTCTTCAATCCACTGTTTATGAATAATAACATAATATTTATTTTTCCAGTCAATCAGGTCCATAGAGCGGCTGCGAATTCGGAAAATGCGCAGAAAATTAAACCGGCTGCGGCGGCAGAAAATGCCAGTACAAGGTCGCGGTCGCGGTCGAGGTCGCGGTCGCGGTAATAGAACAACAGGAGCTATCATTAATTTAAATTATTATTCATTTATTTTATTATATTTATTAAAAAATATATAATATTTAACAAAAATTACGTTATTATCATTTATTCCCATATTCCTTTTCCTGTAGGAAATAAACGGGATTTGTGCCCAAAATACTATAATCTTTATTATTCGCCTTTTCACGTATACCCACAATCGCTGTAGTTCTCTTTCTGCCTTTCATATATTTCATAGGTCATGTGTACAGTATCGTATTTTACATTTTAATATAGTTATCCTAGCATCCGTGTTATTTCGGTGTATGCGAAAAGTGACGTAGCATTGCATGCCGTTAGTTGGATGCGATAACTGAGGTAGGTAAAAATTAATAGGAGAGTGTGAAGAGATCCACCACCACCCCCGTCAAAGATATTATTATACACCTCATCATGTGTAGTGTGTGCACCGCCGAGTGTAGTCGCAATAGACTATAGAACAGCTCATCATATGAGCTGTGTGCACCCGCAGGTGCATTGGGACCTTAGATAGCAATCGTTTATTATACACTTCATCATATGAACTGTGTGCACTCGTCGGTGCAATTCTGATTTTTATGTACATCGTCACATGTACTTTCTTGTGTACTGCTACATGTATTGTTGCTCTGTTTTATGTATGCAGGCTCTCTAATAGGTTGCTGCCGATTAAATCTGCTGTCTATAATTTCTGGCAACATGGAGTCTTCATAAAACCTTTTCAGTTTTTGCTCCATTTCTGTTGCCCAGAATCTGTCGTCTCTTTGTACTTTTGTAATTTTTATTCCTTTCTTTGTCCATAAACAGAATAGAGCACCTTGTCTATTCGTTATGTGTAACTGTCCTTGCACTTGATAATAGTAATGATGAATTTTATTCATTTCATCACCCCGGCAAATACGCCGTATTGCAGGAAGTTGCTCTATTGCTTCAGCAGGCGATAAATCCTTCGCCGATTCAGGGCATTTCACTTCGACGATAGTATCATCGTCCACGAAGCCGTCAGGAGTTGCACCTAAATAAGGCATAACGGCATCGATGAATAAACCACACGGTAGAATATGGATTCCCAGTTCCGTTTCCAATTGTCTCAAGGCATTTGCCTCGTTCTCTCTTCCGTATTCAAGGGAACGCAAATATTGAATTTGCGGATACATTATACTCTTTATCGTATTTCCTCTTGGTGTATTCTTTCTCAATCGGCATACCTTGCCGAAATGTGATGCAGTTAATAATTTTTTACGGTAGGCTATCCATTTTTCGCTCTTGGCCTGATCGCGAGTTTCCGCTTCAATTTTATGTCTCATCGTTTGCCACTGAAAGAGTGTAAGCATGTGCCTCTCACACTCAGAAGAGAATACTGCTTCTTCCATATCCGGTTTTTCGGCCGTGGGGCCGTAATCTTTGTCGCACGATTGCTTTTCGTATCGAGAAGAACATGCTTTGGCATTTTGCTTATATTTCGCTGCCATTTGCGATGCATGCTTACGTCGTTGTTCCATATTTTGTACGATGGCTGTCGGTTCCTTGTTCATAGCAGTACTCAATCGGCTGAACGACTCTCTTGAATTGAAATGAAGAACAGCAGCAGAGGCTCTACCCTGATACGAGCCCTTACGTCCAAAGTTTATTCTTTTGCCACCGATGAATTTCGCAATTATGTTATTGAAACTTTCCACTGCATTATTATTTAATCCATATAACAAGCTTTCAGCTTGAGGAAAGAGCGGTTGCATCGCTTCTTCAATGCTTTAATAAATACCGCATTCTTTCAATTGTGGAACATAGTTCACTCTGTTCGGGTCAGAGTATTTGTTGCAGAAGTATGCTAGTAGTTGACACTCCTGATGTTCACCGAAAACATGACTCGCTACATTTTTCATATCTGTTTTTAAATTTTTTATTTGATCAGCGAGTGTTACTTTCTCTTTGTATCGGTATTCTGCAGCTTTTTTCACACCAGTGCGTAGGCGAAGGGCATTCTCCTTTACAATAGCTCGTAGTTCCTTGAAGCGACCTTTTGTGGCGATCTCATTTATTTTTCTACTGAAGTTGCGTAGCAGGTGATTGGTGCATTCAATTTTGCGTACATGCACCATATACTCTTTGTATGGATCATTGTCCAATATCTTTTTATATACACTGCTATCTCCATCGGCAACTAATATTGAATATATCAGACCGTGCATTTCTATGCTGGATTTAAATCCGTCTACAATAGCAGCACTTTCCATACCAGTTGAATTCTGGTTACGACCCCAATTTTTGAAGCAACGATGCTGCCGTGCCTCTTCCTTCTTCTTGGCAGCGGTTTCGCAAATTATACAAAATTTATTCTTTACATTGATGTAGAGCACCTTTTTAGTGTGGTATCCCACGATGGCTCCTACACCAGAAAGAGAGTTGTAATCACCTCCACGGTATGATCTCTTCATCCAGCTGCCATCTGCGACAACTGGAATCCATGGTATATTACAACCTGGTAGTATATCGCCTCTTGCTATGGCTAGCTCTTTTTCTAATTTCCCTGCGTCTTCTATTTCTCGTTGCGCAGCCAATTCGAACGCATCGATTATTTCATCTTGGCATTTTTCGTAAATTCTCTTGCTCATGCAGGACACGTTCATGCCAGAAAGTATTTCTTCTAGTTGATTGTATCCGCCGCCCGTCATCATTGTACCGGAAACAGCGCTGCGGTTGATGTCCATCGTGTTATCACTGTTCTGAAGGCACGATACGCACTCAACGTGATTACACATTTGGCATTTTACTTTATACTTTTTTTCAAGTCCGTTTTGTTGACATCCAATTATTTGGAAGTGCTCGACGCCACAGCCGATACTTGAATGTTTTCCAAGCTGTATTATTTGCTTGAAAACATGTTGAAAATCGACGAAATCTATCCCGTTAGAAACTGGTTTTTCTTCTAACTGCGGTGATTCTGCTGTTTCTACTAATGCGTAATCTTCTAAATCAGATTCAATTTCTTCCACGTTTTCTTCATACGCTTCCACGGTCGAAAAATCATTCGCAGCAGGCGAGTGTGGAAGCATCTCATAACAGGTGGAAGGTTCTTCAATCACAGAAAAATCGTCAGCAGGAGGCGAGTGTGGCAGCAGCTCATAAGAAGTGGAAATTTTAATTATTTATAACTTTTAAATGCGTTCACCGATATAGATGAAATTTTTAGCATACACACAACTTATCTGAATCTACGAAAGTCATTTCAGTTGAAAAATTACCATTCTCTATTTTTTTTAATGATTTCAACAAATTGTAATTTTTTAAAACGATAAAAATACATATTTTAAATTTTCATGTTTAGGAACAGATAAATCAGGGGAGGAAAGAAAGTAGCGAGAAACCTAATGAGGAAATGAACAAGGACTTGAACAAGGAATTAATTCAATTACTCGCAACATATAAGAAACAAGTAAGTATATATATATAATTGCGATTTCTCAGCGTGGAATCAACATCCATATGATTATACTACAATAATTATGTTTATGTTCTATCATACAGAATGCAGAGCTCAAAAAGGAACTGAAGCGACTGAAATATAGTCGAGGAGCAAGAGGAGGAGGCAGAGGAAGAGGCGGAGGAGAGGGTAGAGGAAGAGGAGGCAGAGGAAGAGGCGGAGGAAAATGGGGCACTTATGGCAAAAATAATCCGACTATCATTTTTCAATAAATAAAAACAAACAAAAATACTATGGTTTCTTTGTTGTACATTCTATCCATACCCTAATTATAATATAAGTAAATATAATATTATTAGTACATAATTTTTTAATATATAGGTGTATTTAATAAAAAACATAAAGTAAAATATGTAAAATAAATACATATTCAAATTTTTTTTTTCAATTGGCAAGAAGTAGATAGATAGATAGCTTTATTTCTTGCCTTTCGGCTTTGAAAGGGGATTTGGCACGTGAGTGCGCCTACAATATTTTATAAGATATGTACATTAAGTTTAATACAATAACGCCCGTGATCTTTAGGTCTTCCTTCCCTGGCCTATCTCCTTCCTTCTTTGAATTATTTCCCTCATCCATTTTCTCCCCTTCTCTTGACCCTGCAAGATATTCCACCTTGTTAGATCATTATCCCTTTCTACTTCCCTACATTCTTTTAACAAGTGTTCTATTGTCTCCTCTCCTAGTCCACACATTCTACAGACGTTATCCTCCTTCTTTTTCCAGTATCTGTTGCCTCTTTCTTCATTCCCACATCTGAACAATTGGCAAGAAGTATTATATTGCGTTTTTATATTTAATTATATTTAAGAACAATATTTATATTCAATTATATTTGTGCATATTAACTAAGTTTGTTCATCTATTTGCTATTGACTTTTTACTGTAAAGATATTGTTTTTTGCCATGATTACACGTTAGCAGACGTTCTCCTTATACGCCACCTTCTAACCACTAGCTGAACTGAATTTGTCACGTGACTTGATCTGCATTATCCCCAAAATGGCGGAACTGGTCTGCGAGAATGCTTTTACGGGCATCCGTTATTCGTCCTTATTTCGCAACAAATGAAGACAAAATAGATCTTAATTTACAGGTAAGGGTTGTGGCTAGACCGCTCAACTCATGATTTCAATCACAGCACTTTTTTAGTGGCTTAAAAATGCTTCGATTCCGCGAATGCATTTTGTCGATTTTTTACCTCTTCTTTGGACGCTTATATTACTAAACATCAACATAATCCCACTGAAACATGAGTTGAGCGGTGTGCATTGGACCTTCCTCTTTCGAATAAGCCTTCACCCAGCCCTAAATGTTGCCATACAAGGACGAATAACGGAAGCGCGTAAACCCTTGTTTATGCCCATTTTTGCCGGTAATGTCAACGCGCTACTATTACCCGTGTCTACCCCCTTAAGGCGATGCGAGCGTCGAGGCCGAACTCCGAATTCCGCGTTGGTAAAACAATCAACGTTTCATCGAAAATTAAGCCGAACAGAAACTGATTTCAGCGCCACCTCATTTATCGCATCCAACTAACGGCATGCTATTTACGTTACTCTTCGCATACACCTAAATGACACACGGATGCTGCGATAGCTATATATATTATGTACGATGAATCAGACCAATTTTTGCGTGTCGCCGGAGAAACCACAGTTTCTCGAGCGAGTTCGGCTCGCCTTTAATGTGGTGACTGCCGAGAATCGAAGCAGCGTACAGGGAAAAAAGCAAGTTTAAATACCCGTGTACGTGTGAGACAATACTAACACAATCAAAATTTAAGATTAAAACTTTTTTATTTTTGAATTTTTTTTAATGACAATGTTATTAACGTATTTATGAGATTTTTCTGATTAAAACAAGATCAAACATGACATAATTTGAATTATAATTATTTATTTACTTATTTATATCTAAATAAGTAAACATAATGCAAATTATATGGTGTTTGGTCTTATTTTAATCAGAAGAACCTTACAATTACAGTGGTAAAAGTTTCATTTAGCAAAAATGAAAAATAAAAAAGTTATTGTTGAATTAATATTGTTTCACTCAAATGTTTTTTCTCGGGCCCTTTAATTCTCGGACCTCTTTCTCTTTCGCTATTTATCCTTTTCTATGTTCGCCAGCATTGAAGAAAGATGCGTGACAAAAAAATTTACGCGTCGGAGTTCATCGCCTCTTCGAGACTCGAACTTCCCATTCGCCACGATACATTGTATCGTCGTCGACGGTTCGATTGACGCACACATATTCACATACGAGCTGCGAATGAGCGCGCTGTCGAGCACAGAAAACGAACAAACTGCGCCCTACAGAAAAAACGAGGAACTAAATTTGTAGTCTGTTTTACCTTTTCGACGTCTTTCGCGAGTGAAAGATCAACGAAATCGCAGATTTCGGTTTTTGTCTAAACGAAAGCTTGTACACCATCCCCTGGGTGCTCGTTTTGCTCTATTCGACCCAAAGAATGGCGCTCTGGTCTCTATTTGGACATTCGTTTCGCAAAAATGTTTATATTACAAATAAATTAATGCAGGTGAGTCCGATCCGCCATTTTCTTGACTGTGGACAGACACAAATTTCAATATTTTATAACTTTTTGACGATTTGGGACGATTTGCTCCAAAATTCGAAGCAGTTAGGATTTCCTCCTTCAAAGTTCTCCATAAATCTGAATCGTTTTGCTCTCCTGTGTTCGTTTCTATTATTGTACGATTTTTTGCATTGTCTGCAAGCTTTTGAAAATGTTCCTTGCGAAGTTGAAGCAGCATATCACTCGGAAGATCTGGTCTTTGCGAGTTTGGACCATAATATTTATCCGTTCCTTGCACTGGCTTTAATTTCCTTGTCTTACCATAGGTCATTCGAAATTGTTTCGTTTTCGCAACTTTTTTTTGTCGCCGTTCCTCCAATCTCTTTAGTAGTGGCGGAACGGTTTTACATATGTTCTTATGCATTTCTGTAAGTATTTGTTGCGTATTGTATTGCGTAACAGCTCCTGCAACACTAGCATTGTAGGAACCTCTTGCACCAAAATTAATACGTTTTCCACCAATCTCTTTGCAGATAATTGAATTAAATGTTTCTGCGGGATTGGTTGTCACATTCATTAACAAACTATCCGAATAGCAGCTGAGGAATCGTAAGGCTTTCTCGACTTCGCTATACAGACCGAACAATTTCAAAGGTGGAACGTAATTTTTCTCAGCTCTGTTTTCGTCCGGCATACACGTATGGTTGCGGCTATTGCACTCCTTATGCTCACCAAATATATGGCTAGGAATACTTAAAATGTCCTTCTGAAGTTCTCTAGCTTTGATATGCTGAGGCCCTTTTTCTTGTTTTCGCGCATTGTCTGCTAAAACAACAGCTCTACGAATATTTAAAATATTTTTTTTAATGATATTTCGGTATGCAACATAGCTACGAGCTCTGTGACCCTTCGTTTGCGTTTTCTCCGCAACGTGTCTCAACTTCTTACATAAATTACGAAGTAAGTGATTGGTACACTCTACTTTTCTAACAGTTACTTTTTGTTCTCGGTAAGGTCTGTTATTCACAATAGTATGATAGACGTTGCTATCACCATCGGCAACAACCGTTCTATATATCAAGCCATGCATTTGAATGCTGCAATTGAACCCTTCAGCAATAGCATCAGTTTCCATGCTACTAGAACTGGCATAACGATCATAATTTTTATAACATTTATGATGTTTTGGGGATTTAGCTTTTCGTTCCGCTATATCACATATTGTGCAGTATTTATTTTGTATGCCGATAAACAGAACTTTTCCTGTGCGGAAACCTAGAATGGCACCAACACCGGAAAGTGAATTATAATTCGTACCATACGATCTCTTCATCCAGCTACCATCCGCTATGACAGTTATGTACGGGATACCGTCGACGACTTCATTGTTTTCAGAAGCTAATCGTCTTTCTTCTTCACCTGCTGTCTGCATGATATGCATTGCGCTTTTCATAAACTCATCGACAAGTTTTTCGCGGTACCTGCGGTACGTCGTTTCAGCCATGCAGGGCATGTTCAGTGCGGCGCATAATTCTTCTAATTGTGCATAGCCGATTCCGACTGTAACAGTCGCGGTCGTCATGGCCTCATTTACATTCGTTATATCTGAATGCATAGGTTCCGACCAAACAGTATCTTCGTAATTGCACATTTGGCACTTGAAGAAAAACTGTGTCAGACACCCATGCTGGCGACTACCGATCATTTTCCAATCGCGGAAATGACATTCAATACCTCGCGCATGATTGTCGAACATTCTATGTATTTCATTCCAGAAGAAGTGAACGTCAACAATGCGGCGGCCTTTTGGCACATTTTCCGAAATACGTCCCACATCAAAGTGTCCGAGGCCTACGACGAAATTGTCGTCGCTATTGTCCAGGACGTTTTGTACAGTGAGTCTCTCACTTGTACATTCACATTGTACAACGACAGTTTCATCGTTTTTGCGAAGGGCGTTGTCTGATAAGATGCGCCCCACATCATTATTTTCGCGAAGGGCGTTTTCTGATAAGATGCGCCCCACATCTTTTACATTATTTGGGAAAAATGAAGGATTTTTATCAGACACATCTGTCTGACTATCGTCCTTTACAGTTTTTCCAAAAGATTTTAGTGGTACAGTATATTTTTCTTCGAAAACTACAGCAATGTCAATCTTCATTGTCGACGATTGCCGTTGTTTCTGTCGCCTGCAAGGTAGAACGCATAAAATTATAAATATTTATAGGATAATTCATACAAATTACTGAAATGTATAAATCTGAAACACGTACAGTTTTCTGTAACCACTTTTCAGGGAGAGTTTTCTCCCTACACGCAATCCTTTACAACTACTACCTTTTTGATTTCCCATTTGTGTTTATTTTTTTCACAAATGCTTGGAAATTTTCTCAATAATATGTCTTCTACGTTACCGTGAAGACGTCTTATTGTTAGAAACAATTAGATGACAACGCGGGCCATGGCAACGCGCTTCGTAGATGTGAAACAAAAACGAAACGCCAACGCCGCGCCGTCGCGTTTTCTAATCTCACTGGCATAGACAGTTCAACGAATGCTACGAACGAGAGAGGAAGGTAGTGCAATCGAAGATGGAGAAAACCGACAGTAAGTGTTTCTTTTTATCTTTACTTCGCGGGTGTCATTGATGTCTTTCGTACATTAAAATGAGTTATGTGCATTCTTAAAA